GTTGTGCCATCAGGAACCATATCAGCCTCCTGTTATTAAGCACAAACATATAGCCAAGTTTAACTTAGAATATTTTATATATATTATAATATTCTAAGTTGTTTTTGCCTCCTCGTGTTCTTTTACTTCTACATTTGACGTCCGCTCACTACACACCCGTGCTGCGTTGTTTGTTTCTGAGTCACCCCCGGTGGGCGCTCCATTGGTAATCGTTTCAGCAACCTGTTATTAAGCACAAACGTATAGTAGCGTTTAACCCTCACCTTACATAGATATATTTCTTTTCTTTCAAATAATTTAAATTGCTTTTACCTTGTCATGCTCTTCTGGCTCTGCATCTGTCAGCCACTTGTCACACACCAGTGCGGTGATCCTGTATGACCCTGGCTTGGTTATCTGCCCAAAGAACAAAATAATTAATTTTAAGCACATAAATATAATAATTTTTTCACAACTAGTAAAACTTTCACTTGCTTTTACCGTAACAATGTCGCCCTCTTTCCATGACTCGGGATCTATCGGTTGGTTCTCGACATCACTATCCTCTGACGACCTCTCGGCTGCTATGTCCTTGTATACAGACTCTTCTTCCATTCCTACCTATAAAAAACAAATATATTTAACCATAAATATTTATCAAAAGTGTGTAATTTTTCATCAATTTGTTCTAAAGAGTGCCTTACCTCCACCTTCAAGTCTGCTTCCTCCAAAGCCGGCAACAGATTTTTTTGCATATTATCCTTTTTCTCTTTTACAACTGGCAGTGCCCCCATAAAGTCTTCCTGTTTCTTTGGTTCAATTTCAGGATGAAACACGGGATTCAGCACCGAGGCTGCCTCTTTAGCAAAATAACTGTAAATGGGTCTTCTCTTCTGAACATGAGCTGGGGCACCCAGAGGCAATTCAGGCTTCTTGGCATCTGTAGGCATCTTGTAAAAGGACACGCTATTTTGTCTAAGCTCCCGGTTTTAAAACCACAATTCAAACAAGTATGTGGTTTTATACACACGGTCAAATGCTCATTGGCTAGAGATTTTCAAATAATCCACTCCATGATAGCCCATTTATGAAAAGCTCTTGTTTTAAAATCATGGTATGAAAGGATTGGTTCAAAAAGGGCATTCTGTGATGGAGCTGTAAAATAGCTTCTGATTGGTCCACCGAGAAGCGGGAATAGTTCCCAAGGTTCACCACCCAGAACAGCTATCATTTCACTACCAGCAGTCACTGGGGCAGGATGTTTCACTCTGCATATGTCCAGTAACACAGTCTCTCTTATTGCTTTATTTTTTTTTATTCTCTAAAACCATTTTTTCTTTGCCATGTGCTTATTTTTCCTCTCTTTCTATTCTTTAAAAATAATCTCTCCTTACTAAACCTAACCAAACAATCTTTCTTCTGTTTAATAACATTTTTTTCCTTTTTTCCGCTAAACCTAACCAAAGCTTTCTTTTTTTAATATTTAAGCTCTCTCACTCTATTCTTTCAACCTTTTTCTCTAAACAATCAACCAAATGTATCAAAGCACAAGCACATAACAACCCCCCTATTCAAACATAAAAAATAGTGAAAACTTTTTTTTCAAAATGGCCGATGGCACCAAACCTTGACACATACAGAAACGGGAACGGAGGGTGGGACATAAGGACTAAACAGGGTGTAGAAACCTGTCAAAAATAGGTGATGAATGCTATTGAACAGTATACTACTTAGGGACACCTGAGGGTGTGGGGTGAGAAGGGTCGGTTATACTGTATAATGGGCACTAGGGGCAGCACAAAGTGGGGTGGGGAAGGGGTGGCTATATTGTACAATGGATACTAGGGGAAGCAGAGGGTGGGGGGCGGGAAAGTGGTGGCTATACTGTATTATGGGCACCACCATCAGGAAAGGTTGAGGGGAGGGGAAGGGGTGGCTATAGTGTATAATAGGCACTAGGGGCAGTAGAGGGTGAGGTCGAGGAAGGGATGGCTAGAGTGTAATGGTTAGTAGGGGCAGCAGAGTGTGGGGGAAAAGGGCAGCTATACTGTATAATGGGCACTGGGGTAGCAGAGCATGGGGGTGAGGAAGGGGAGTTTATATTATATAATGGGCACTAGTGGCATCAGAGGATGGGGGTGGGGAAGGGGCAGCTATATGGCATAATGGGCACTGGGAGCAGCAGAGGGTGGGGGCCAGGAATGGGCGGTTACACTGTATAATGGGCGCTAGGGGCAGCAGAGGGTGGGGGGTCAGGAAGGAGCAGCTATACAGTATAATGGTTACTAGGGTAATGGCCCAAGAAACCTGACATATTAGCCATTATACAAGCAATGATTTCCCCAAAAATATAAACACAATTGTTTTCCCAACTTAGTGAATCACTGAAGATGTGCTTGCGAGGGGTACTGACCCAGTATCCCAGACGAACCCCCCAAAATTTAACCCTTCTTACCAGATGGAGCCAGCAGCAATCTTGGCCAGGTCCAATATCTAGGGGTTCCTTTCCATTGATACAACGCAGAACTCGAGCCCCCACCTAGAAACCTGGGAAATTTACACACCACCCCTGGGTGCCTCTGATAGGCAATACTTCCCCACTCGCAAGCACAGAGTCTGAGTGTAGAAAAGAAACTTTTTATAAAAGGAGGGAAGTAACTTGGTGTTAATTGGGGAAAACACCATAAGCAGGGTTCATAAACATAAACCATGAGTAAAAGACCCACCCCCAAGTAGGTTGGGCAGTGTCCTTTTCCCCTCAGGTTCTTACATCCAGCAACCCAAAGTCCCCTTCACATGCCCAACCCTTCTCTGCACCCCACTCACAGTTGCTGTCCTGGGTCAGTGCAGACCCAGAGTTCAGAGGTGCATCTGCAGAGTTCACCTCTTCCCTGGGTGGGGTAAAGAGGTACCTTACTCGCTATGCTGCTCAGGCACTCGCTCGCCATCCCTCTCTGCCAGTCACCCTGCTGGCCACTCACTGGCTGCTCCTGCGCTGGGCACTCGTCGCACCTCTCTACCACACCAGCCACTCATTCACCAGCTGTCAGTCACCTTCTGCTGCCATCTGCCTCTCTGCTGTGACCTCTGCACATCAGTCTCTTAGTAGTTTTCAGCTCTTTGCAGGCTGGATAGAAACACTGCCACAGCTCAAGTGATTTCAGCTCTCAGTGATTTTTAGCTCTGAGCAGGCAGGGCAGAAACACAGTCCTACCACAACTGATTTCAGGTCTGATTGGGCATTTAACATAACAAAGAGGCTGCTAATGAAGCCCATTTAGCTCTATTCATTGAACACTGGGGAGGAACAGGTTAAACCAATCTAATAAGGACCCTTGATGAGGTTGTACAGCCCCCATAACTGCTTCTCGGCTCTCTATGAGCTAAGATCAAGTGTCAGTAGTTTCTTGGTCTATCCAAGGCCATGATCAAGTGTCTTGATGTTTCTGGTCTTTTAGCCTCGAAATGAAAACCTTATCTTTGTTTCTGGGACCTTGAAGTGAAAAAAATTCTCTAAGTTATATCTGTTCCAACCACTCTTACTTTCACAGGGCTCTGACATTTGAGCCCATGGCTTAACAAGGATCTTTCAGCTGAGGGTGGCCCCCGGGACAGGTTAAACATAGTCCTGCTTTCCTGTATTTCTACAATAATTACAACATTGGTAACCATATTTTACTACACCTGCATTCAGTACTAAGGTGATTTGTACCCAACACCAGCCAAAATTGATCACCATGATACTGCTGTATCTGCTAAATATGCAAGCAGATCAGGAGGAAACTGTATTTACATAAACACACCCAAAGTCTCTCCTCCTCCCAGCTAGCTGTCAGGGAAGCATTTATTCAGACCCTGCTTACATAGGCATCAGATATTTCTACCCAACCTCCCTTCTTGAAACCTGTGATCCATTTTGCCTCTTTGTTGAAAGCTTTCAAGGGGGGCATGGAAAATAAATTCTGCCCATTAACGAGACTAGCACCAAATTCCTGGTGTCAGCAATGTGCAGCACCAAGAGACACCTTAATAGGGTGGTTTCCGGGAGCACTCTTTCATTCCAGGCCAGCTCTGCTCAACCAAACTCTAGGGAAAAGAGACTTTTCCATATTCAACGTAGCACGGTCAGATCTGGCCAGTACCAGGTCCTTTCGTTGGGGCTGTAGCTCAGCATAGACAGCTTCATTCCCAGCCACGTCAAAAAAACTCATCCTTCCCCTGGTGTTAATTGCTTATCCCAGCAGACCCCAGTCTATAGCACACTGGGCCAGGAGTGCAGCCAAGTCTGGCCCAGTAGCCAGACTTTAGCTTTGTGCTCCCCTGCTATTTCCTAATGAACTACCTGTGCTGTAGCTCCCCAGCCTGAAGATGCTCATGGGCTTTAATGAATCACACTCATGACAAGTGTCAGTCCTGCTGTCTAGCACCCTGGAGCTGATTGGGAGCTGCCCGGATGCCGAGTAGTCGGGGTTGGTTTTAATTTTGGCACCTGTTATATGTTGGGTTTAACTTCCTTGAAACTGGTAGGTATAACCACCACCCTTCATTTAAGATAATAGAAACGGTTAAGCTCCTTTATAAAAATAACAGTGGTCTCCTGCCAAAACAAAGGCACAGGAGAGTCTGCACGTGGGCAGAGGAGTTTTGCTGGGTGTTGGTTGGTGGAGGAGTCTGTGTGAGAGAGAAGCAACAAACACACCAGAGAAGCAGGAAGGCAGCAAGAAAGCTTCAGACACAAGCTGAACAAGCACTGAGCATGACCCTTTGCAAAGCCTAGAGGTTTTGGGCAGAGTGCTGGCTGAAAGGGCCTCGGAGCTGGGAGCACAGAAACTGTCTCCTGTTGTTTGATTTCTCCTGTGTTCAGAGAAAGAGGCCTTTGTACATTCTGTGTAAATAGGCAGGCTTGCATCAAAGATATCTGACTCCATCACCAATGTCTCCTCCTAATGGAAACAACCCAGACATTGACTTGCCACTCGGGTCAAAAGAGGGTAGCACCGTTATTAAGTTTTGATTGGGAAAGGAAGATGTGGTCTTGGGAACCGTATCTGTAACAGTTTAGCTTCCCCACCAGGAAGTTTGGAAGAGGGGCACTGCAGAAGCCCATGTTCTGTTCACCAGAGGCAGTTGGAAGTGGGTCACTGAAGAATTAGTATCTCTTTCAGTGATCAGTGAACAGCCCATTGTCCATCTTGCCCAGTGGTCTGTCTCAGACAATAGCCGGTACCAGCAGAAATCCCACACCTGCCCATGGCACAAGTCTCTTCCTGGCCTCTGTTCAAGGTTGCCTTTACACCTTGAAATCATGAGGGTGTTTAGCCCTTCCACACTTTTTTAAACCCCCTACTAACATCTCTTTTTGTTATTATCCAGGTAAATGTCTGATGGACCCTTTTGGGGATCCTGCTAAACACTTGGACTCAAAGATTTATTGTGCCAGTGAGTTTCACAGGCTCCTTGTGCATGGCACACAAAAACCCCACAACATTTCATGGACACACAAATATCTCTGTGGGAGGGGGGGGGGTCCAAGGCCTGGCCACTTTCACATCAGGGACACTCATATTCTAAAACTTCCCCGCTTCTTGACAAAGTTGATTTCTGCCTGAAAGAAACACTGAAATTCTGACCTTAAATGATTTTCCTTTTCAAAAAGTTGCATTTTTGCTTCAAAAATACTTTGTAAAAAAAAAAAAAAAGTGATAATGTGCCCAATTTTGCTCTCTGAGAGTCTTATTTTAGAACCAAAGCAAATGTTCACACTAGCTGGGATTTTTCACTCCCTTGGGGTGTACTTAAACATTCACAAGGTTTGCGTTAAGGCCTTGTGTTTTGGAATTTTTTGCACACGACCAGCTGGGGGCTGATATTCACTGAGGGTAAATACTATGGGGAGTGGCTGGGAAAGGGATGCTGGCAACGCTGTGCACTGGAACGAGGCTAGTACAGTGCAGGGTAAATTGTCAAGGTTAGGTTATGGTGGTAAATCTAAATCCTAGCCCACTGACTGTAATGTTTCACCCTCTCATGTTGTTCTAGCTCCTAGCCCAACTATAACCTTATAGCAAACCCTAACCCTAGCCCCAACGGACTCCAATGCTAACCATAGAATAGCCCCAAAGGACTTTAATCCTAATCCTAACCCCAATCCCAACTCTGCTTCACAACCCTACAAAGAACTTGGCCATGGCCAGGCTGCTGCAATGCTGACAGCACATGCTATCATGCTGAGCTGTATTGTCTCCTTGTGTTTCCCAGTCTATCAGCCTCTTTGTTTATAGCTTATCAGCTCATGGAGGACAGGGACCGCCTTTCTGTTCTGTGCTTGTACAGCTCCTAGCCCAACGGGGGCTTGGCCTGTGACTGGAGCTCCTAGATACCATCACAATACAAACAAATAATCAATTACCCCATCCTGTGACCTGGGGTCCTGCTGAGACTGGAGTTGGAACTAGGCTGGAGATAGGGCCTAGGAGGGGAGATCGAGGTGCAGCAAGTCCAATGAGGGTTTGGATCTCCGTGTGCAACTGATTAGCAGTTTTGGCCCAAAATTCAGACATGTGAGCCCAAATCCTACATTTGTGCAGGCAGAGGGAAGACACAGGTGCCCAAGGGTGGCGGCCACAGCCCCGGGTGCCCGTCTGCATGGGTGAAGAAGAGGGGACTTGCCTGTTCAACTCAGAACATAAGCAGCTGCTTCCGGAAGCCAGGGACGGATGGTCAGGTTGGATTCTGTCTGATGGCCGTCCCCGAGGAAATATTTCAGCCTGTGTTGACACCCAGTGGTGACAGCGGGTATTACACACTAAGTGAAACGACTTTAGTCTGGGGCGCTGGCTTGACAGGCCTGGGATTTGGAATCCTTCACCCATCGCAGAGGAATGAGCAAAGTCTATGTGAGCTCCCCATGCACTGGGGAAAAACCTTGTCTAAGGCTGAGATCGTTCCTCCCAGACCACATAGAAGACACCTGCTCCCAGCCACAGGGTCCTGCAGGGACACATCCTCTCCCCCATCCTAGCCAGGAGCTGAGTGAAGTTGCTTGGGGAGAACAAGCCAGCAATAGGCTCCCCGCTCTACATCCCCTTCACATCAGACACCTGCAGCCCCTCCCCTGCTGAGATCAGCCACTGCACGAATTGCCAAATCCAGGACTGGCTGAGGAGATGATGGTAGGAGAGGAAGACCCTGCCACCTCCAGGCCATCACCCCACCACTAAGGGTATCAGCCCTAGGGTTGCTGAGCCCACTCAGTTTGTACTCGTCCCCATGGTCAGAGCCAGCTGTAGGTGGCAGCAGGGAATGCTTGGATTAGTAGGGAAAACTTTATTACTATTCACCGTAGAACGGGCAGGCTGGCCCTGATGGGCGATCAGATACCTGTCCATCAGGAGTAGCTTGGGAAAGCCTCCCAGCAGCCCCAAGGAATCTAGGGTGGGAATTGCAAAGCGGCCCAGGGGATCTGGATGCCCAGTTGAGAACTAGGTGTTCAAATTCCTTAGGAAGTTTTGAAATCTCAGCTCTAAGGTTTAAACACGAGTCTGCAAGAAGTGGCGGGAGATCTCAGGGCTGGATCCAGGGGCTCTGGGCCTGGCTGAGGCAGGGACCACCCCAAAGGGTGGGGCGATTCACCTGTCTCAGGAGCCCTGCACAGGGATCATCCCCTGGGACCAGGTGGGCGCGTCCCACCCAATGCAGGGAGCTGGGCATGCTCTCGGCCCTTCCCCATCTCCTCCCACACTGTGATTGTAAGGAGGCTGGCAACTCACACATGCCTGGAAAATCTTGAGTCATGGTATCTCAGCTAGGCACCATGTCCTCCCAGAACATCATGGCACCGCTCATCTCCTGGGATTGCTCAGGCAGCCGGGCCGGGGCCAAGCCGTCTCCTCCCCACCAGCGGGGTGTGGAGCCGCCCACACGTTGCCCCTGCTGAGGCATCTGCTGTCTAGCAGGATCCGGGGAGGGAGCAGGCGAGGCATAGGCAGGGGAAGAGGCAGTGGTTCTTCCCATACACGCTGCTCAGAACAACGTGATGCCTCCTTTCCCTCCCCCACCCCGTTCGATCAAACTCATCTCTCCTGCCAGTTTCCTCCTCTTCCTCATGCTGCTGCGACGGGCTGGGCGCTCCCCATCCCCTCGGCGAGGGGCACTACGCAGCTGGCTGGCCAGGAGTGCTCTCCTCACACGGGGGGGGCTCCACTCCCTCTGATGGGAGCGTGGAATGCTTCTGAGGAGCAGGGACCAAGCCGGCACTGGGGATGGGGGTCCGGGGGCAGTTCTGGGCCCTGCAGGGAGCTGATCAGGGCTTGAAACTGCAGTCACCGGCCCAGAGGTTTCTTTCAGAATGGTGGGGCGCAGAGAAGGCCCCGAGGGAGCCATACGGGATCCCAAGGACCCTGGCCCAGCTGGAGGGGGTCCAGCCAGAGGGGGCTCAGCCGTGTTCACGGACCCAGCATCCCAGCGGGGCATGTTCCTTCCTGCGAGGAGCTCTGGGCTGGGAGAAGCAGGAGCCAGGGAACTGGGGCAGAGGCGGCAGTCACTGGCCCTGGGCTGGTCCATGGAATTCTCTCTGGGATTGCGGGATGGGGATTTCCCAGCCTTTGCATCGTCTGCGTGGACAAGGACAGGGCTGCCCTCCAGAGGCACTGGAGCATCTGCAGTTAATGAAGACAGGGACATCATTAGCGCCTTCCCCCAGGGCTGTGGTACACCCATCCGGGGGCATGGGGCCCATGGGGGGGCCAGAGCGCTGTACGGCAAGGGCCTGAGATTAGGGAACCCCAGGAACCCAGGCACAAAGCCTGCATGCCTGCTCCACAGCCTGGCACCATGCTCCCCTACACAAGCCCTCAGGCAGGCATGGGGGGCTTGTCCTACAGGGCTACCTTAAGCCCGGGGGCTCTTCCACACCAGACAGTGGCACCCAGTTACAGCCTCACCTGGAGGTGCCGCAGTGACTGACATGACATCACATCCCAGGGCCCTGCGGTTGGGAGGTGCCAAGGGTGCCCACGCATCAGGCCTGCTCTCCATGCCCCTCTAGTGGCCTTGCCACACACAGGGGCTTCTGAGTCAGCTCTTGTCTCTGCTGCACGAAGGGGCCTGCTCCTTAGCTCAGGCAGCGAAGGATCAATTTTCCACTCCAGCACTCCTGACTTCGGACCATGACAGCGACCTGTTCAGGGTCATTGCCACAAGGGCAAAGCTCCCTCTGTAGGCGGGGGGCGGAGGGGAGGAGGAAGAGCCTGTGCCAACTCCAAGGGCACAGGGATAGGGAGGCCAGGTGTGCAGGGCTATTACCTTGGCAGGCAGGGCAGCAGGCAGCAGGGAGCACCGAGGGCTCGGTGCAGGAGCGGGCACAGGGCCTCCTCTCGCAGCTCACCTCCCCCAACTGAGAGATGGGGAAAAGGAAGGGGTGAGACATGACAGCTTGTGAACACCCGCATTCTCCATCTCTCTGCCAGGCCGGGACAAGTGACCCCAATCTGTGGGGACGGCAGGGAGCCTGCCAGCTCCTCCACACACCCAGCAACCCGCTGGCTTTTCCTTCAGTCATGCCAAGGCCCACTGGACCCTTCTCCAAAGCAAAGGCCTGCAGCACTACAGGAGCCAAAAGGGAACTCCCAGCGTCCCCTCGGCCCATATCACACCAGCCCCCAGAGGGCAGCTCCCATCATCCCCTTGGCCCATATCACACCAGCCCCCCGGAGGGCAGTTCCCAGCATCCCCTTGTGCACCAGCCCCCCGGAGGGCAGTTCCCAGCGGGGCTCAGGGTCCCCTCAAACTAGCCCCTGGAGGCCCCACAGGATAGACACTCATGGCAACACAGTCCATGGGACTCTTGGCTGATGCTGAGGGATGCCCATTCCCATCCTTCCCCCAGTCCCCGCAGAACAATCCCCATCAGCTCCCTCCCCTCCAAGGGAACAGCTCACCTGGCAAATGCAGTGAATGCAGGGCTCACCCTCCGGTACGAATATCTGTCCATTCACCACCTTCCTCCCTTCGTAGTTACAATCTGCAGGGGACAGACAAGCTTTAACATCACAGTAACTATATAGAGATTGGATGTGATAGTAACACACACACACACACAAAGTAGATAGAGCACAGGGTTGGGAGTCAGGACACCTTGGTTCTATTCTTGCCTCTTCTGGGTGACCTTGGGCAAGTCACTTCCCCACTCCATGCCTCAGTTTCTCTTCACGCCCTTTATTTGCCTTGCCTATTTAGGGATAGACCCTGCCTTGAAGAGGTTGCTGTGTGTATGTACAGTGCCTAGCACAATGGGGCTCTGATCTCAGCTAGGGTCTCCAGGCACTGCTATAACCCAAACAACAACAGAAGAATCACTTCACCCAACAGTGACATGCGGCCACCTCTTAGGCGAGGATGCTGCAGGTGTTTAGCAGCCCATGGCAATGCTGCACAAGAGAGTGTAGTACAGGAAGTGAAGCTGAATGTTGTACCTAATTCACACTGCTTGGGGACTTACCCAAAGGCAACACCCCGAACCTCACTAAAGTGCAAAGGGAGTTTTCATGACCACAAGTGGTTAGGGCCTTCATCTTACAACTCACCCACAAGAAAGCACATCCGACTGCACAGTCCCCCTGGCACTGCACTGGGACACTGGGGTCAGGGCTGACTGTAAGAGGAGAATACCCCATATTGAGCCTCTCTGATGCATTGGGAAAGCCTTCTACTGAGTAACCTACACCACTCCCTGCAGCACAACACCCCACGTTGCTCCCTGCAGCACAGATCCTGGCGCCCTGGGGTCAGTCCTGACTGTGAGAAGAAAGCACCCTCTACTGAGCCCCCACGCCACTCTCGGCAGCACAGCACCCCTAGCACTGCACAGGGGCATTGGGGTCAGCAATGACTCAGAGAGGAGCTATCCGGACTGAGCCCCCCCAATGCCCCTCACTGCAGCCTGTGAGGTCTCCCATCCTAGTACTGACCACACCAGACCCTGTTCCCCCGGTGGTAAGATCAGAGGTGGTCGAAGCCCACGGTGGTTTGGAAGCAGCCAGGGTAGAACTCCAGGGCTCACCAGGGCTTAGGCACTTACCATAACAGACAGGGCAGCATTCTCCCTCCGGGTGGAACGGGTACATACAGAAGATGATACACTCCACAGGGGAACAAGCCACGGAGCCCAGCTGTAGGACACAGAACAGCAACACTAGGACTCTGCCTTAGCAGCAACACAAGGTAGACAGGTGACTGGGAGACTATGACTGGCAGGAGACACAGTGGATTACGCCTACGGCTGATGGGAAATTCTCCTTTGAAACAGCTTTTCAACAGGAAATTGAGTTTTCAACAAAATGAAACGTTTTGATTAGAAACTGCTCTTGCATTGACCCATGGGAGCTTTAGTTCAATTGCCTCATGTCCCCATTCTTCTCTATGGGCTGGACTCCCTGCCTAGACTACATCTCCCATGATGCAACTACCTCCCCCTAGTGCATGGGAGATGTAGTCCGACTAGGGAGCCCAGCCCATAGAGGAGACTGGGAGTATGAGGCAACTGAACTACAACTCCCATGACGCACAGCGACTTCATTTTTAATTGAAAAAAGAACAGGAGTACTTGTGGCACTTTAGAGACTAACAAATTTATTTGAGCATAAGTTTTCGTGGGCTACC